GACATTTGAAAAACACATTGTCTGGCGAGCGCATGCGCCCTATAGCCAAAAAACCCTCTCAAAAACAAAACAAAACAAAACAAAAACAAAACAAAAAAAACAAACCTAGTACATTTAAGAAGGTAGATTAATAATATAAATCAAAAGCTTTTTTTTTTTTTTTTGGAGAGGTTTTTGCTATAGGGCGCATGTGCTCGCCAGACAGAGAGAGACAGAGAGATAGAAAGCGAGAAATCACCCCCCAGGGGGGATGGCCACGCCGCAATCCCTTCTCCTCCACTCTCCTCTCGGGATCTTGGGCATGCACGCACACGCGCCCGGCGTGAGTTTAAGTCACTGGGTCCGGGACTCAAAGCATGGTCGACTACGTGGGAGTCCAGCGACATAGCCATTACGCTAACTGCTTTAAAGAGGATTTCCTTTTTTTTTTTTTTTAAGAATTATTTTATTTAATTTTATTTATTTGTTCATTTATTTCTAATTTTGACCAGAGAGGAACAGAGTAAGTGAGCGTGAGAGAGAGAGAGAAATAGAGAGAGAGAGAGAGAGGTAAAGCAAGAAAACAAGCTGCCAGATCCAAGACTTGAATTGCAATCATCTGAAGGCCAGCACCCTTAACCATCATGCAACCTCCCGGCCCCAAGACGTAGATTCTTTTCACTGAAAAATTACTTAGGAATACATTCTAGTAAAACTAGCAGTAAGGGTATAAAATTTTTTTCTCTTATTTGCTATAGGTTGTGCTCACCAGGGACAGAGAGACAGAGAAAGAGGGGAGGAAGAAAGCACCTCTACCTGAGGCATGATCACATTATAATCCCTTCTCTTCCATTTCTCCGTCTTACTAGGATTCATTGGGGCATCCACACACATGTGCCTAGAGTATTTTTCATGCCGTCAGGGTCAGGATCCAACTCCCTTACCACCAGGCCAACAGGGCTGGCCCAAAATACCTAAGTACAGGATTATTAAATAGAGTCAGACAGTAATGTGGTGGTTAAGACAGACGGATTCCACATAGCTGATTGTATGGTTCAAGTCCTGGGCCTGGCAATTTGAAAAACACACACTGGCTACATGTGTGTGTATGTCCAAACTTCCAAAAGGAGAGACGGATAGAAGGGATTGTGGTATAACCATCCCCCATGGGGGGATGTTTCCTTTTTCTTTCTCTTTCTGTCTCTCTCTCTCTCTGGCAAGTGTATGTGCCCTCTAGCAAAAAAATAAATGATTCTTTAATACAGTGCTGTTTTAATATGGGATCATTCCCATAAATTATAAACAAGCTTTATGTTAGAACTTTATGTGGGCATTACAAAATATTAATGTGGAGGCTAGCAGATGGCATAATGGTTACGTCGCTAGACTCCCATGTAGTGAACCGTAGTTCGAGTCCTGGACCCAATGGCTTAAAACTCACACCAGCATTTGGACCAGCAGTTGGTGTAGTGCTATGTTGCTGGACTCTCACATAGTCGACTGTGGTTCCAGTCCCGGACCTGGTGGCTTAAACTCACACCAGGCATGTGTGCATGCGTGCCCAGGATTCTGAGAGGAGAATGGAGAAGGGATTGCAGCGTGGCCATCCCCTCTGGAGGGTGATTTCTCGTTTTGTCTCTCTGTTTTTCTAGTGAGCGCCTGTACCCTATAGCAAAAAACTCTCAAAAACAAAACAAACAAAAAACAACAACAACAAAAACCTCACACTGGCATGTTGTGCATCCCAAAATCCTGAGGAAAGTGAAGAAGAAGGGATTGCAACACGGCCATCCCCCCAGGGGAGTAATTTTTCACTTTCTGTCTGTCTCTTGGACTTCCACATGGCCGACTTCAATTTGACTACTGGATCCAGTGGCTTTAAACTCATGCTGGGTGGGACCAGCAGGTAGCAAGGTGGTTAAGGCGCTGGACATTCCCAAATGGCTGACCATGGTTCGAGTCCTGGACCTTGCTTTCTCTCTCTCTGTGTGTGTGTGTGTATGTGTGTGTCTCTCTGGTCAAATTAAATGAATGAATATATAAAATTTAATAATTCTTTAAAAAATAAATAAATAAACTCATGCTGGGTATGTGTGTGTACATGCCCCAAATTCTGAGGGAATGGAGGAGAAGGAACTGTGGAGTGGCCAACCATCCTGTGGAGTGATTTCTCACTTTCTCTCTCTCTCTGGTGAGCACACACACCCTATAGCAAAAATCTCTCCAAAAAAACCCCCAAAACTGATGTGTATTTATATACACATGGGAAGATGTTCAAGAAATATTTCTGAGTAAGAAAAGCACGTTTAAAAACCTAAAAATTTGAGAGCTGACAGATGGCACTGTGGTTAAGGGCGTTGGACTCCCACATGGCCAACTGTGGTTTGAGTCCTAGACCTGGTGGCTTATCTCTCTCACTCTGTCTCTCTCTGGTTAAAATAAATAAATAAACAAACAAACAAAGTTAAATAAAACAATTCTTAAAAAAATAAAAAACCTAGGGAACCAGCAGTTAGCGTAATGGCTATGTCGCTGGACTCCCACGTAGTCGACCGCAGTTCACGTCCTGGACCCGGTGGCTTAAAACTCACGCCGGGCGCGTGTGCGTGCGTGCCCAAGATCCCGAGAGGAGAATGGAGGAGAAGGGATTGCGGCGTGACCATCCCCCCTGGGGGGTGATTTCTTGCTTTCTGTCTCTATGTCTCTCTCTGTCTGTCTGGCGAGCGCACGCGCCCTACAGTGAAAATCTCTCCAAAAAAAAAAATAAATAAAAAAAAAATAAATAAATAAAAAAAATAAAAATAAAAAACCTAAAACATTTCTAAACATGTGCACAAAGGTTTATATTATCTTTTATATTATCTTGGTATGTATGCACAGATAAATATCTGGAAGAACTAACAACAAAATGAAACCATGATTGGTAGTGAATAGTAGTAGGATTATAAATCAAGGTTTTCAGGCTGACTCCATGGGCTGGTGGTTAAGAGAGTTGGATTCCACATGGCTGGCCACATGGTTAAAATCCTAGGCCTGGTTATTCTCCCTTCTCTGCCTAGTGAGAGCACGTGCCTTCTAGCAAAAAGAAAGTAAGAGAGAGAGAGAGAGAGAGAGAGAGAGAGAGAGAAGGAAAGCTTTACATTTTTGCTTATTTATATTTTCTACTGTGAAAAAAAAAACAGTAAAAAATACAAACAGCAAGTAGTGATGAGGAATATAGAGGAAAATTTAAAAAAAAATTTTTTTTAGAGAGACTTTTTTCTATAGGTATGTGCGCTCTCCAAAGAGACAGAGAGAAAGAGAAAGAAGGTAAAAAATCACTCCCCATTGGGGATGGCCACACCACAATCTATTCTCCTCTTGGGAGCTTGGGCACACATGCTCTCATGACTGGTGTGAGTTTTAAGCTGCCAGGTCTGAGGTTTGAACCGTGGTCAATTATGTATGAGTTCAGCAATGTAATCATTATGCCATCTGCTGGTCTCTAGAGGAAAATATTTAAGTTATAAATAATAACTACACCAAAGCAAGAAACGACATTGGCTATAAACCACAACTATATAGAAATACCCATTTAAAAACTAGAATAATGAGGCTGGCAGGTGGCATGGTAGTTGAGGTGCTGGACTCCCACATGGCCATCTGTGGTTCAAGCCCTGGATCTGGAAGACTCCTTTCTCATTTTCTCTCTCCCTCTCTGTGATCAAATTAAAAGAATAATAAAAAATAAAATTAAATAATTATTTTTAAAAAACTAGAATAATACACATAAAGTACAATAACTGCTGTGTTAAAATTGATGGAGTTGGGACCAGTGGATGGCTTATTGACTCATATTATCAATGTAGTTGCTGGACTCCCACGTAGTTGACCGTGTTTCGAATCCTGGATCTAGTGGCTTGAAACTCATGCCAGGTGTGTGTGCGTGCATGCCTGAAGTTCTGAGAGGAGAAAAAAGGAGAAGGAATTGTGGTGTGGCCGTCCCTTCTGGGGGGGTTATTTCTTGCTTTCTATCTCTCTGTCTCTCCGTGAGTACACACGTTCTATAGCAAAAACCTCTCTAAAAAAAAAAAAAAATGATGGGGTTATGGTTGATTTAAGCATTTTTAATGATGCATTAGTCATTGAAAAAAAAAAAGCATGGGGCCAAATGGTGGCGCAGTAGTAAAACAGGACAATCTGTAAGGCAGACCTGCGTAAGAAGGTCGCCAATTTATATTAGGAGATCTCACTGAGTATGAGTATGCCTGGCAAGCATATCCATGATCCATGCTGGCTGAGGCCAGACATTGGATTATGGCATCAAGACCCTATTGGGGGAACCAGCAGTTAGCGTAATGGCTATGTCGCTGGACTCCCATGTAGTTGACCGCAGTTCGCGTCCCAGACCCGGTGGCTTAGAACTCATGTCGGGCGCGTGTGCATGCGTGCCCAAGATCCCGAGAGGAGAATGGAGGAGAAGAGATTGCGGTGTGACCATCCCCTCTGGGGGGTGATTTCTCGCTTTCTGTCTCTATGTCTCTCTCTGTTTGTCTGGCGAGCGCACACGTCCTATAGCGAAAACCTCTCCAAAAAAAAAAAAGACCCTATTGGTTGTGCTGTATTTCTTCTTACTCACACATGGAATGCAGAAATTATTTAAAAAGAAAAAAAAAAAAAGTGGGAACCTTTCCTGAAGAAAGTTGTTAGTTTTTCTTTTCTTTTTTTTAAAGAATTATTTATTTAATTTTATTTATTCATTCCTTTATTTTAATTTAACCAGAGAGAGACAGAGAGAGAGAGAAAGAAAGTGGGAAAGCAAGCCACCAGGTCCAGGATTCGAACCGTGGTTGGCCATGTGGAAGTGTCCAGCGCCTTAACCACCACAACACCTGCTGGTCCCCTAGTTCTTAGGTTTTCTAAAATGAACTTCTAACAGAAATTTTGCAAAGGTTTTATCTTGCTGTAACATTTAAATTCGTGTTATCACTTCCTAATAGTAAGAAATAAAATACATGCATGTATACTTATGCCCATCTTACCTTCGCCAAGAGAGTTTTCCCACAGCCAGGAGGACCAGCAAGGAGGACTCCAGCTGGAGTCAGCAATCCAAGAGCTCTGAACTGGTCTGGACTACGAACTGGGGCCTGGAAAGAGCAGTATCAACAGTGATCCACTCTAGGTATCTGTTTTATATTGCATGTTTCAACGTATCTCCAGAAACAGATTTTCTTTCTTCCTTCTTTTTTTTTTTAAGTTCATTTATTCCTTCCATAAAAGACACAGTAACACACACATGCACACACACACACACACACACACACATACACAGAGAGACGCTCAACAAGGTCTTGTCATGCCACAGTCCTCCCTGCAGCCTTCCAGCCAGCTAGGATTAGAGGCCTATATTCAGGTTGACCCGGGATCCAAACCCTGTGCCTTCCCAGTATTATGCAGTGGCACCCTGCTACCTGCAGCACTGTGGCTAGGTCTACAGATTTTCAACACTAATTGTAAAACCTTAAGATACAAACAGTGCCTAGCATACTTCTATTCCATGCATTTGGTATATGGTTATAAAAAGAAAAGTCCCCGCTCTTGAAGAATTCATACTTAAAAATGTTAAGTTCTAAGAACACTTTAAACATAAAGATATAATATTTCAACATTTCTAAATCAAGATTTAAAAAAAAAAATCCAAATTTCTAGGTTGTAAAAAGTTGAGGCAACAGCCTCCTCTAAGAATCAGAAGCAATGTTGAATTAAACTATTTTGGCCTAAAGCAGCTGCCATACTCCCACACTTTGATTCCTATGGATAGCTAGGCTTCAGTCAGTCACAGACATCCCACCTTTTAAACTGTTAATTCAGACAAACTTCAGAATGTAGCCAATGATTTTTTAAAACTATTTTATTTAACTTCACTTATTTATTCATTCATTCAAATTTTGATCAGAGAGTGACAGAGTGAGAGAGAGGGAGAGGCAAAGTGAGAAAGCAAGTCACCAAGTCCGGGATTCAAACCATGGTTGGACAAGTGGGAGTCAAGCGCCCTTAACCAGCATGCCTCCTGCCGGCCCCAGAATGTAACCAATGATTTCTCTACCTCACTCCCTCACCTGCATGTAGTGTACAACACTTTCCCTTTACTACACACCTCACTTTCCTGTTCTGCTGACTTAAAAGGCTGAATGACCGCAAGGCTGGCTGGGATTGTCCAGAAGTCTGGGGACAACGGCCTGATTTAAATCGTGTTAAGATTTGCTCCATTGAAACTCTACTCTTAAATTGGTTGGGTTGTATTTTTTTTTTTTTTTAACATCAGGTACCAAGACCAGCAGTTAGTATAATGGCTATGTCGCTGGACTCCCACGTAGTCGACCGCGGGTCGAGCCCTGGACCCGGTGGCTTAAACTCATGCCGGGTGTGTGTGCGTGTGTGCCCAAGATCCTGAGAGAAGAATGGAGGAAAAGGGATTGCGGTGTGGCCATCCCCCCCTGGGGGGTGATTTCTTGCTTTCTGTCTCTCTGTCTCTCTTTGTCTTTCTAGTGAGTGCATGTGCCCTATCGCAAAAACCTCTCAAAAAAAAAAATCAGGTACCAGCCTCGGTGGCAGTCAGTACCATACCAGACTCTAGAGCTAGAAGCCACATATGGACCATGGTGAGGATATTCCCAGGTCACTTGACTGAAAATACACCAGGCAATTGTGCGTATGCCCAGGATCCTGACAGGATACATGTCTGAAGAAAAGAAACTATGGCATGACTAAGCCTTCTGGACAGTGTTTTTATCTCTCTGTGTCATGCATGTACATTATCATGAATTTAAAAAAAGAAATAAGGGGCCAACAGGTGGTGCAGATGGTTTGAGTCCCGGACCCAGTAGTTTGAAAATCATGCCATGTGCATGTGCATATATGTCCAAAATCCCAAGAGAACAGAGGAGCAGGGATCACAGTATGGTCATGTTCCCTGGAGGCTGATCTCAATCTCTCTCTCACTCTCTCTCGTGAGCGCATGTGCCCTTACAGTAAAAACTAAAAAAGAAATAAGAGGAGTAAAAAGCTGGGACCATGTTTCAATGCAAGCTTATGGCTCTCAACTACCACAACCATGCTGACTTCAACTGCAAAGATGAATTTGGAAACTGTTTGTCTTGAAGACCAGAAAAATTAGACATTATAAGACTGAAGATGGGGAATTTAAGAAACATCCACAACAGTGACTGGCCCAAGTTTTTTGAAAAGTATCTCAAACACATTAACTGTACTTTTCAAGATTCAGGATCTACAAGAAAGATTTGCACATGGAGATAATGTTGAAAAGTACAAGGACTTAGTACCTGATAATGCAAAAACTTCAGACAATGCAACTAAAAATGCTGAGCTATTGATCAATTTGGATGTAAATAATCCTGACTTCAAGCTGACAATGGCTTGCTGATGTAATGGCTTTGGCTAACTTTTAGATTCAGTGTCTTGATGATTATCTGGCAATGATTAAATGAGTTAGAATTTTAATTTAGGAGCCCCTGACACAGTATGCAGTTGCTAAAGCAAGTCAAACAAAAGAGGGCTTGCCTGTTGCTTTAGAAAAAAGCAATATTCTTGGTTTTGATACAGGAGATGCAGTTTGATACAGGAGATGCAGTTCTTAATGAAGCTGCTCAAATTCTGCGATTATTGCATATAGAAGAGCTGAGAGAGTTATAGATGAAAATTAATGAAGCCAAAGTAGCTATTCAGGCAACTATTGCTGATCCAAAGGCAGAAGACACACTGAGGAAAGTTTTAAGATGAATACATTGGGATTTCAGTTTCTCCCCTACTTTGTACAATTAGGAACCAAGTACACTTCCAGCACGTGTTTGGAAATCAAATGTCACATTTTTGAGAAAGGAATCCCCCAAAATTGACTATCTTTTAGAGATCTACCACCATAGCTTTTTCTTTAATAAAGTTTGGGAAAGTGGAATTTAAAAAAAGAAAAGAAGAGAAAAGAAAAGAATCAGAAGCAACAGTATCCTTCACTTAGACAAAAACAAGAGATGGGGCCATGTGGTGGCACTCTGATAGCAAAACTGGACCCACATGTGAAAGTCCCTGGTTTTGTGCCCTAGGAGCTCCTTGATTACCTTAGGCATGTGCACACATGCGCATGATCTGGACCAGCTGAAACTGGGGGTGGATCACATGTGAGGATTGTTCTGGGGGTTCCTATCTCTATTGCTTATGGAAGAAATAAATAAACTTTTATGAAAAGAAACCTCGTTTGGGGCTAGCAGATGGCGTAGTGGTTATGTCACTGGACTCCACATGGCTGACCACGGTTTGAGTCCAGAGCCCAGTGGCGTGTGTGCACACGTGTCCAAGATCCCAGGAGGAGAAGAGATTGTGGCATGGCTATCCTTTTGGGAGTTGATTTTTCAGTTTCCCTCTCACTGTCCGTCTCTCTCACTAGTGAGTGCAAAGTGCCCTAATGAAAAAACCTCTAAGAAAAAGGAAGCTTATTTTAAAAAAGAGACACATTTCCCTGTAATTTCAGTATATTTTCTTTCAGTAGTATGCACCTCTACATAGATCATATTTCGTGAGCATTAAAACTGCTTTGATCCTTAAGAGTATGATAAAGTTCAGAAAGGAATTCTCAAACAATCTGGTCTTGGTTTAAACTTGAACTTTTTAAAAAAAACTCACAGCTACAGAGATCAAGCACAACCAAAAGAATCAGTTAAAACACAGCTTGAAAGAATAAAACACCACTTTGCGGGGTCTAATGCTTAAAAGAAAATATATAGTCAAGACAGTTTAGACATCTATCTCTGGACCTTAAGCCATCATATACGTCTATGACATTTAGGAGATATACCTACCAATATTGCCATGGTGAGCTCCTCTCTAATATCCTCCAGGGCACCAATGTCTGCCCAGGTCACATTAGGGACAGTGACAAAGCCTTCCCTTTTAGCAGAGGGCTGAACTGAGGACAGGGCAACAATGAAATCATTCAATTCAATGCACAATCCTTGCATCTGCTCCTCTGAGAGAGGATCTTGGTCTCTTAGCAACTGCAGCAGCCTTTGCAATTCATCCTTAAAGGGAACAATCAGGGGAAAAAATGAAAAAAAGAAAAAAGGCATAGTATGTTGAAAAGTTACATTTGTACTTGTAAAAATTACTACTGCAATAAATTAGAGGGAACTTCTATGTATTTAATAATTTTCTCACTCTTTGATATGAGACTTATGATCATTTTATTCTATGTGGATTATATACTTTGGCAAAGTAAGAGGTACACCAACTATATCAGTTACAAAGGAGTCTTCAAAGAGTTCACAGAAAATGTGTATTATGAAAAAACTATGCATGGATTTCCAAATCTTTTGCATCAGAATAAACTTGTACTGGGTCAGCAGGTGGTGCGGAGGGAGGTTAGGACAACTGGATTACACATTGCTGACTAAGCAGTTCAAGTCCTAGACTTGGCGGCTTGAGAATCACACCAGGCACAGTTGTGCCCAAAATCCTGAGAGAAGAAGGGATTGCAACGTAGCCATCCACCCAGGTCAGGGGCTGATTTCTCAATTTCTCTTTCTCTCTGTCTCTGGAGAGCACACATAACCTAAAGCAAAAACAAATAAACAAACAAAAACCTAAAACAACAACAACAACAAAGTGTACTTTAGTTTTCCAAGTAATTTTTAAAGCATGTTTGCTGCTAAGGACAAAGATATGGCTGTGTTGGCAGACTATCCTGTCCACCTAACCTAACTTCTGAGTTAACTGGCAAACTTTTTCTGTAGTGGACTAGGTGGCAATATCATAGGCTTTGAAAGCCACATGGTCTCCTCCACAAGAACTCCTGTGGGAATGCCAAGAAAAAAACAGACACTGTGTCAACAGCGAGCACAACTATGCTCCAATGCAGCCTTAATCACAAAAGCAGGAGGTGGGCAGGGCCCAGTCTGCCAATCCCCTCTAGGACCTTATAATCATTATTGAAAACTGAATCTAATGAGAATAAACTGAAAAACTAAATAAAACAAAAAACCGTACGCATGTAAAAGTACAGATATTTGGGGTCTGACTAGTAGTTATTTTATATAAAATTTTCTAAATAATTCTAAATATTCTATAAAATTATTCTAAAATTACTCTATCTAAAGCGGCAGGACTAGTAGATGGCATAATGGTTATGTCACTGGACTCTCATGTAGTTGACTGCAGTTCGATTCTCAGACCAGCGGCTTAAACACACGCTGGGCATGTGTACATGCATGCTTAAAAGTCCTGAGAGGAGGACGAAGGAGAGGGGATTGTGGCATGGCCATCCCCTCTGAGGGTGATTTCTCACTTTCTGTCTCTCCAGCTAGCACATGTACCTTATAGCAAAAATCTCTTAAAAAAAAAACAAAAAAGGCAACAAAATAAGAAGTCATAAATCTCAACTATACTGACACTTGCTTAAATGTAAGATAACATGAAGAATATGTAAAACAGTGTAGCTGCCTTTACAGAGCACAGAAAGCACCTGTGTCGCAGAAGTGGGCTTGGTCCCCAGCCTCTCCTCTGGGCCTCCTTGGGAGAGCAAATCTTGCACCCCAGGATCTTTCTCCTGCTGTTCCTGTAGCTTCATTAAGACCCTATTGACTGCACACATGGCTGCCTCTCGGCAGAGAGCCATCAGATCAGCACCAACAAAGCCTGGTGTTAGGTGTGCTAAGTGACCAAAATTAAAAGTTGCAGGGAGTCTCAGTTTTCTGCACAAAGTCTGAAGTATTCTGTAGAAAAGAAAAGGAAAAAAAATTTCAGAGTCCTAACTTAGTAGTAAAAACAAGCCACTGAATATATTCATTTGAAATCCTTTATCTCTGTCAATACTATAATAAAGGGGTAGTAGGCAAGATCAAACAGTTCATTCACTCAAAACAAATGCTAAATTATCACTTTACATCCCACCTTATCCAGAAAGGATTATGGTAAATACCCCATTTATTAGGAACCATGCGAAGTGCTATGAGAAATGCAAAGGTCTATTTTTGTAAGTTTATTTATTTCCTGAGGGAGAGAGAAACATGTATTGTCAACAGGGCCTCAGCATGCCATGGTCCACCATTGGCCTTCTACCACCCAGGATCACAGGCACGCTTACAGGTATGCCCAGGTCAAGTGGGACTCAAACACACAGGCCTTCCCATCATGCTGCAATATTCCACCACCCACGCCACTGTGGCTGGACCTAAAGACAGGTTTGTTTGTTTGTTTGTTTTTTCCGAAAGGTTTTTGCTATAGGGCACGTGCGCTCGCCAGACAGACAGAGAGAGACATAGAGATAGAAAGCGAGAAATCACCCCCCCAGGGGGGATGGCCACGCCGTAATCCCTTCTCCTCCATTCTCCTCTCAGGATCTTGGGCACGCATGCACACGCACCCAGCGTGAGTTTAAGCCACCGGGTCCGGGACTCGAATCGCAGTCGACTACGTGGGAGTCCACGTGTGAGCGAACTCTTGGGCCCCGCCCGGTTTTTTTTTTTTTTTTTTTTTTTAGGAAAAACTCTACCTTTAAGAATTTTACAATATTATAGAGAAAATAAGATAAATAACTTATAGGAGTAATTTCAGAGTAGATTAAATGGACATTTACTAGAAATAAAGGCCTCCGCTCTCAAATCATTTAACTCTATTCATCACTAAGTTATCCTGGTTTTACACCAGGACAGTTATTTTCCCAACTTTATCTTTACTTAGTATTCATCCTCTTCATGGCTTATATGAAAACTTTTGTTCCACTCGACTAGCATATGGTATTTGTCAATGAAATATGGACCTCTAACTCATCATTATTATTATAAGAATATCTTGAAAGGTTTCTGGTAAGATGAATTCAATAAAAACTTAAAAGTGTGGTTGGCAGGTGGCATGGTGGTTAAAGATGCTGCATTCCCACATGGCTGACCATGGTTCAAGTCCCAGACTTGGTGGCTTGCTTTCTCGCTTTCCCTTTCTCTGTCTGGTCCAATTAAAAATGATAATAATAATAACAAATGGAATTAAATAAATAAATAATTCTTTAAAAAATAACTAAATAAAACCATTAAAGGTATTTAGGATGAAAGGCCTCAAGCCAGACTGCAAGAATCTGAATACCAGCTCTGCCCATCTGGATAACCTAGGCCAGTCACTGCCCTGCTGAGCTTTGTTAAATACATATTATAGTAGCACTTACTCATAGGGTGGTGGTTGTAAATAAATAATGCAAATCACTTACAGCACCTGTTGATCCACAGTAAGCATCCCATAAATATTAATAATTATTGACATACCATCATATCGTAAATTAACTTGGATAAGCAAACATATTTCAAAATTTCCAAACTTGTGTGTGACACAAATACTTTCCACTGTCAAGGTAATAAAGAATATATTTCACATTAGGACAGGTTAAAAAAAACTGTCTCTGATTCAATAAATAGGAATCAAGCACTACACATGTTAAATATTGGTTCAAGGACTGAGTCTACAAAAATAAGAAAGACATGGTTTACACACTTGAGCATATTACCTTAATACTTATCAAACACAATAAACACCATTTTAAAAACTCTTCAAGTCTCGGGGCCAGCAGGTGGTGTGGTGGTTAAGTGTGCTAGACTCCCAAATGGCCGACTGTGGTTCGAGTTCTGCACGTGGCGGCTTGTTTTCTCACTTTCTCTTTTTCTCTCACTCTTTTCCTCTCGGGTGTTAAATAAAATAATTCTTTGAAAACAAAGAAACAGAAAACAAAAACTCTTCAAGTCTAGGGAACATAAAAACAGTATTCTCAGGACTGGCAGGTGGCATGGTGGTTAAAGGTGCTGGACTCCCACAGGGTGGACCATGGTTTGAGTCCCAGACCTAGCAGCTTGCTTTCTCACTTTCCCTCTTCCTCTCTCTCTCTCTGTCTCTGTCTCTCTGTCTCACCTTCTCTCTCTGGTCAAAATAAAAAGTAATAATAATAATAATGATAATAAATGAAGTAGAATAATTATTAAAAAAATATCCTCTCTGAAATGAATCTAACATTACTAAAAGTAACGTGAATCTTTGTAATATTACATATTCTACAAAGCCCCAGGAAAATAAAGACAAACCTGACTATCGATACATGAAGAGTACTTTATGAATATGTGCACTGAGCATCAGCTTACTTATGAACTCCATTGAGTAGCATCTCAGGTTCACAAATAAGAAATTTTCAGGTTTCCCAAATGTAGATTGAAATGTCACTAAAAAGACATCCAAACCTTTTTCATACACATACACACACACACACACACACACACACATATATATATATATATATATATATATATAGAGAGAGAGAGTTTTATATATATATATATAGAGAGAGAGAGAGAGAGAGAAGGCTTTTGTCATAGGGCACATGCACTTGCCAAAGAGAGGCAGAGAGAGACAGAGAGACAATGTGAGAAATTACTCCCCAGTGGGGGATGGCCAGCTGGCAATTCCTACTTCTCCTCCACTCTCCCCTCAGGATTTTGGACACCCATGCACACCCACCCAGAGTGATTTTTAAGCCATCAGGACTGGTACTTGAACCATGGTCAATCATATGGGAGTCTAGCGCCTTAACCACTATGCCACCTGCTGGCCCTGGCTACTCCTCTTTACCTGTCCCTTTAATAAGTGCAGTCTACAAAATGTGGTTAGTGAAAGAAAAACCAAATATTCAAAAAATACTTAAACCCACTGCCAACATTAACATCACCAAAAGTGGTCAAAAGACATTATTTTATGAGTCTACTGACATGAAGCATAGGAGTGTGCATCATCATATAAGGATGTTTTATTACTTTGCTATAACAATAAAACTTTCAACTAACCAAACCCTTATATTTAATATCTGGTTTATAGGATGTTAAACACATGAGGTAGGTAAGTACAAGAAATACAGGGAAAGGAACAAGTTAAATGACACATTAAGTATATCATCAGCCAAATTCAGGAAGTAGGAAATTTTACAGGACAATGACCCAGCTTCTTCCACAAACAAAATAGCATAGAAAAAAAGAAAGGGGGAGAAAACTATTACATAGAAAAAACTTAAGGTCTGGCAGCACACTCTGTTGGTAAGGTTGTGGAACAACAAGTAATCCTGTCCATCACTAGTGGAAATGCTAAATGTTAAAATCCTGTTAAGGGGAATTTGGTGCTATCTAACTAAACTGCATATACATCTACCTTTGAACCAGCAACTCCACTTTAGGAATCTATCCCAAAAGTTATACTCACAACACTCCAAAAAGATGGACACAGATCTGTTCACATTGCCATCTATGTAACAGCAAAAGAATAGAAACAACCCGAACGTCAATGATAGGGAACTGGCCGGATAAAACAATAGCAAGTCTATACAATGGGATAAGCAAGTATAGAAGAAAGGAAGGCAATCAATTTTCCAGTCCTTCTGTCAAGTAAGACTTTCCACTCTGCCTTGACTTCTATCAACATAACATTCTTGATTTTCCTAATTTCTGGCTGCTCCTTTTATATCCCTAGTCTGTTAGCTTCCTTGAGTCTGAACGAGACCCTCAGATATTTGCTCTTCATAAGCACTCTGCATTATCTCATCTACTCTCCTAATTATTCTTTTTCTTTTTTTTTTTTTTTAAAGAGATTTTTGCTATAGGGCATGTGCGCTCACCAGAGAGACAGAAAGAAAGAAATCACCCCTTAACCCAGAGGAATGATCACACCACGATCCCTTCTCCTCCATTCTCCTCTTGGGATTTTGGGCATGCACTCACATGCACCCAGCCTGAGTTTGTTTTTGTTTTTGTTTTGAGAGGGTTTTGCTATAGGGCGCATGCGCTCGCCAGAAAGGCAGAGAGAGAGAGAGAAAGCAAGAAATCACCCCCTGGGGGGATGGCCATGCCAGAATCCCTTTTCCTCCATTCTCCTCTTGGGATCTTGGGCACGCACGCACACGCACCCGGTGTGAGTTTAAGCCACCAAGTCCGGGACTCAAACCTTGGTCGGCTACATGGGAGTTCAGCAACATAGCCATTATGCTAACTGCTGGTCCCCAGCCTGAGTTTTAAGCTGCTGGGTCTGGAACTTGAACCGTGGTCAACTACATGGGAGTCCAGCGATGCAACCATTATGCCCTCTGCTGGCCCCACTATTTATTCTTTAAGTCTGGTAGCCTACTTTTCTCAGAGAAGCCTTTCAGAACTCCCAGACCATGAAACTACACCTGATACATCCTCCCTAAGACCTTGCCTTTGCCATTCTGATCTCATCATACTTCTGATTACTCAACCACCATCCATACTACCCATACTGGGCCTCCTTGGTAAATAACAGGTGCTTCAATAAATGTTTCCATAAATAACAAAGACTGGCCTTATTTCTCTTACTGTATGTGAGCGCCTTGAAGAAAAGACTTAAAATTCTTATACTCCCCACATTATCAACCACAGAAGTACATAATATGCTTCTTACTGTGTGCTTTATATATGTTTGCTGAATAAATGTGAATAACTTAAAAATTAAATCATATACTTTTACTAAAGGTATAAACACATTAGTAAACAAATCTGGATAGCTGAGTAACTGTTTAAAGATTTCGTATATGAGGGAACCAGCAGTTAGCATAATGGCTATGTCGCTGGACTCCCACATAGTCGACTGCAGTTCACAACCCGGACCCGGTGGCTTAAAACTCACCTCTATGTCTCTCTCTGTCTGTCTGGCGAGCGCACGCGCCCTATAGCAAAAACCTCTCAAAAAACAAAAAACCAAAAAAAAAAAAAAAAAAAAAAAAAAAAGATTACGTATATGAGAGCCAGCTCTGTGGCACAGTAGTCATGCTCTGTTCAAGAGAAACTAAATCCCACGTGGAGACCATAGTCTCAGTCCCTGGCCCAGCAGCCTGAGATGTGCCGGAAATGTGCGTGAGGCCCCAGATCTCATAGGCTGGAAGACTGGAAGAAAGGGATCATGGAGTGACCAACCTTGTGGAGGGTGTTCCTCCCTCTCTTGCTCTTATTCTTAGATGTACTCTATCATGAATAAAAATAAGTAAGATTTATACCTATGGGAATGCAATTAAGATACATATAGCTGACCTATGAATAGAACAGCTTAAGGAAATATTGCCAAATAATCAAAAGTGAAGCTGTATCAAGTTCTGGGGAGGACAAGAAGGCACAGGCTCCCTCCTAAGACCTTCGCTTAGGATTTCCCAGGATTTCTGACCACTTGGATTTCCTACATTCTTTTTTTTTTTTTTTTTTTGGAGATTTTCACCGTAGGGCGCGTGCGCTCGCCAGACAGACAGAGAGAGACATAGAGACAGAAAGCGAGAAATCACCCCCCAGGGGGGATGGTCACGCCGTAATCCCTTCTCCTCCATTCTCCTCTCGGGATCTTGGGCATGCACGCACACGCGCCCGGCGTGAGTTTTAAGCCACCGGGTCCAGGACACGAACCACGGTCGACTACATGGGAGTACAGTGACATAGCCATTACGCTAACTGCTGGTTCCTGATTTCCTACATTCTTGAACTCTCCTGTTCCCCATGTCTCTCCTTTTCACTTTCCATGACTATTTCCTTTCATTATCTACCATTATTTCTAAAAGCTGTTGTTGATCCTATATTCCAATTTTAGTGCCATTAACTTAATCCAAACCCAGTGATTATTTCAGAACATTAAAAAAAAAAAATGTCAGAGGGTACATGTGCTTACCAGAGACACACAGAGAAGGAAAGCAAGAAAGCAACCCCAACAGGAAATGGTCACCCTGCAATCCCTTCTCTTCGATTTCTCCCTTCTTCAGGGATTAAGCAAGCACGCATATGTGTCTGGCCTGTTTTTCAAGCAGCTGGGTCCAGAACTCATCCATGTGGTTAGCCATGTGGATACAGCTGCCTTAACTATGAGGTCAGGGGCTGACCCAGACATTCCTTAGCTAGATTTATACTCCACTTCCTAAACAGTACTTCTTGAAATAGGTCTAGGTATTGAGTTATATACTTGGTTACTGGTGAATATTTATTTGCCCTATGGGAATTCCACCCCAATTACTAGTAAAGGCTGTTTGCACAACAAACTCAGAGAGCTGTCAACTCTCTGGCTGTGTTTCATTATTTGTCATAAGACCTGTGGTATAAGGCAGGTTAGTGGAATAGGTAAGATACAATGCTCAGAATGAATGTACACATGGGCCAGATAGCATTGCTCTCTCTATTCCACAGTTCTGAACACTGTCCTTAAGCTGCCTGGCCAACTAAAAGACGCAAGCCATTGTCCAAATCAAGCAAATGAGTATGGATACATATTCATTATCACTACAAAAAAAAAAATCTGAAACAACTGCCTTGCTGAGGAGTACATAGTAAATTGTTTTCCTTTTCTTTTTAAATAATTTGTGTGCACTTATCAGAGAAAGATGGAGAGTCAAGAAAGAAAGAGAGGATAAAAAGCACTCTCCGATGAGGTGCAGTCCATGCTATAAACCCTTCTCCTCCATTTTTCCAGCCTGTGATGCATGGGATGTGATGACGCACACCTATCTACCCAGTGTACTTTCAAAGCTGCTGAGCCCAAAATTTGAACCATGAAGGTGACCATGTGGGACTTGGCACTCTCAACCATCAGGCTAAGGGGCCAGCCCATAAAATATTTTCTTTCTTTCTTTCGTTTTTTTTGGGAGGGAGATTTTTGCTATAGGGTGCATGCACTCCACACACACAGAAAGCGAGAAATCACTCCCAAGGCGGATGGCCATGCCACAATCCCTTTTCCTCCATTCTCCTCTAGGGACATTGGGCATGCATGCACATGCAAGCAGTGTGAGTTTTAAGCCACGGGGTCTGGGACTCAAACTGTGGCCGACTATGTGGAAGTCCAGCAATGTAACCATTACGACATCTGCTGATCCTCATAAATCATTTTCTTAAGCATTCATTTAATGTGGGCTTTTTCCTTTCAAATTAATTTCATTGGTAGGAAAACAAATAGAAAAAAATGGGCTATGTGGTATTTCTCATTCCAATTTTTTTTTTTAAGAGAGATTTTTGCTATAGGGCGAGTGCACTTGCCAGAGAGACAGAGACCAAAAGCGAGAAATCACTTCCCCAGGGAAAATAGCCACATCACAATTTCTTCTCCTCTATTCTCCTCTCAGGATTCTAGACATGCACATACACATGCCCAGTATGAGTTTTAAGTTTCTGGGTCCAGGACTTGAACTAGAGTCAACTACACGAGAGTCTAATGATGTAAGCATTACGCCATCTGCTGGGTGAAGACCCCTGACTTTTAAAGCATTGAATTCAGATGACTTAGCAGCATACAAACTTCACTCAGTAAGAATATACCTTTCCCTAGATGCTTCATCTGGGATTCCCAAGCAAATTTCTCGGTCGAACCTTCCTGCGCGTCTCAAAGCAGGGTCTAATGAGTCTGGTCGGTTAGTAGCTCCAATAACTAGGACCCGAGCTGTAGCAGCCACGTTATTCAGTTCTAGTAAGAAGACAAAAAATGAGTGATAAACAAGATACTTGAATTGACAGCAAAAATGTTTACACAAACCATTTAGTGGCTGGAAAGAAAGAATTATACATTTTGACAGCAATATATATGTATATATGTATGTGTGCATGTGTATATGTATATACACATATGTTTATTAAATGTTTAATACAGAATGAGCATCCCTAACTTGAAATTCCAAAGTGCTCCAAAATTAAAAACATTTTTTAAAGAACTATTTTATTTAAATTTATTCGTATTATAATTTTTAAAATTTGACCAGAGAGAGACAGAGAGAGAGAGGGAAAGTGAGGAAGCAAGCCACCAGGTCTGGGACTCGAACCATGGTCAACCATGTGGGAGTCCGGCACCCTAATCACCAAGCCACCTGCTAGTCCCAAAGTTAAAAACTTTTTAAAAAGCACTGACATAACAACATAAATGAGACATTTCAACCCTGACCTTATGTGAAGGGTCATGGTCAAAATGCTGCAATAAAACATACCATATAATGGGGCAAGCCAGTCATGTGGTGGGTAAAGTGGCTGGATCCCACTTGGCTCCCTGTGTGGTTTGAGTCCTAGATCCAGCAGGTTCAAACACGTATCAGGTGTGGGAGCATACATGTTGAAAGCCCGGAGAGAAGAATGGAAAAGAGACTGATGTGGCCATCCCCTGAGGGGTTCTTTTGCACTTTCTCCTTTTCCCTTTCTCTCCAGGAAGTATATATGCCCTATAGCAAAACTGTATAAAATTACCTTCACGATATATGTATTAGGTGTACATGAAACATGAATAGATGCTGTGCTTAGATTTGGATCCTATCCCAAAGATGTATCATTACGCATATACAAATACTCTGAAATTATTATTTAAAAAAAGGCAAAAGAAAAAAACAAATCTGAAATGCTTCTAAGTATTTCTGATTAAGGGAAAACTCAACCTGTCTATAAAAAGTGTGAAGGAGATACATAAAATGCAAACTTTGTCCTCAGCAGTTCAAAATCTACTGAGAAACATTATATAATTAAGAAAACAAGGCCGGGAACCAGCAGTTAGCGTAATGGCTATGTCGCTAGACTCCCACGTAGTCGACTGCGGTTCGCGTCCCGGACCCGGTGGCTTAAAACTCACACCGGGCACGTGTGCGTGCGTGCCCAAGATCCCAAGAGGAGAATGGAGGAGAAGGGATTGCGGCGTGACTATCCCCTCTGGAGGGTCATTTCTTGCTTTCTGTCTCTCTGTCTCTGTCTGTCTGGCGAGTGCACGGGCCCTATAGCGAAAACCTCTCTAAAAACAAAAACAAAAACAAAAACAAAACAAGAAAACAAGGCCTTGACTAGTAGGTGCCGTGGTGGTTAAGGCATTGGACTCCCACATGCATGACTGTGGTTCAAGTCCCAGACCCAGTGGTTTGAAAGTAATGCTGGGCATATGCATGCATGTGTACACCCAAAACCTCCAGAGCAGAATGGATAAGAATGGACAAGAAAGGATTGCACCATGGCCATCTCTCCTGGGGCTTGATCTCTCACTTTCTCTCTCCAGCAAACATACATGTTATATGGCAAAAACCTAAAAACAAAAGGGCCTAAGATAATTTTGTGAAGTATAATAATATTAGAAAAACCTCTCCTATTACCATCAAAAGGTACTATGAATGTTATAGTATTATGTGGAATAAAGAAAGGCTCAAGGAGGGAGCAGAATTTCAGCAAAGCTGTGAAGAGTGAATATGATTTTAACAAGCAGAGTTAGAAGTTAATGGCATTCTAGGGACCAGCAGTTGGTGTAATGGCTATGTCGCTGGACTCCCATGTAGTGGACTGCAGTTCAAGTCCCAGATCCAGTGGCTTAAACTCACGCCAGGCGCGTGTGCATGCATACCCAAGATCCAGAGCAGCTTTCTGGAAGAGAAGGGATTGTAGTGTGGGCATCCCCCCCCCGTGGGGGGGTGTTCTCACTTTCTGTCTGTTTTTCTCTTTCTGGCGAGTGCATGTGCCCTAAAGTAAAAACCTCTCCCAGAAAAAAAACAAAAACAAAAACAAAACGACATTAATGGCATTCTATAATACATAGAAAACACGGTATGTGTGAAAGCACAGAGGTTCAAATATGCATGACGCATACAGGTAAGGTGAGCAGCTCAAGAACAGTGAGTCTGGGGAAGATACAGTTGTCCAGGTCTCAGGATGGACAGAAGAAATTAATTTAAGATGAGGATATAAAATGTTCTTCAGCTATTCTGGTTTAATGTAGAAATAAGATTTTTAGGAATACACTGATGCAGGACCTAAAGTTTATCTTTCCTAAATATTATTTCTCTCACCTGACCCAGAACAGAATAACAAGGAGTCTAAGGTTATAATCTCTCACAAAGAAGGTAGTAAGATACTAATGAAATCATGAGGTGCGTATATTATATACTCTTTTGCTAGTTGGAAGCCATTAGAGGTTTTTCTCAGAAAAGCAGCCTCAAAAGAAAATTTTAGATAAAAACAGAACAGTAGAAGGCCAGACAGTAGCCCAACAGTAGTAAAATTTGATACTCTGTGAGGCTGACCCACATGGAAGGTTCTGGGTTTGCAGGTAGAAAACTCCCCGAGAATACTGGGCTTAAATTCTCCCACCGTCGGGTTGGCTGAGACTGGGGGTGAACAGAGATGTCAGGATGCGGGTGCTGTGTCTCTTGTTCATGGAAGAAATAATAAACTTTTTAAAAAATAACAGAGTAAGTAACCTATAACCTGGTATTGCAGGGAACAAAAAATATACACTATTTCAACTTTATAGTGTATATTTACCTTGTATATTTACAACACATGCTATTTCAAAGTAGGTACGATTTAGTTCCAGCTGATTCCTTCCTTCCAAACTTATATGAGAAACTATTTAGCAAAACTGAAAAGCAAGATACAGACAGGGAGGAAATACTCCTTCAGGGACCAACAAGGGCATGGTGGTTAAGGCACTGGATTCCCATTTGGTCCACTGTAGTTCAAATCCTGGACCTGCTGGCTTGCTCTCTCTCTCTCTCTCTCTCTCTCTGGTGAGTGCATGTACCCTATAGCAAATTTAAAATAATAATAATAAAAGTAAATAAATTCTTAGAGAGAAAGAAGAAAATTCTCCCCCAAACCAATCTTAAGAAGAGAATTCAATGGAACAATGGACTCAAAAATAAAAAAGGAGATTTTAGAAATGATAAAAATATCCCTCCCAGGGACCAGCAGTTAGTGTAATGGCTATGTCGCTGGACTCCCACATAGTCGACCGTGGTTCGAGTCCTGGACCTGGTGGCTTAAAACTCAGACCAGGCGTGTGTGCGTGCGTGCCCAAGAGCCCGAGAGGAGAATGGAGGAGAAGGGATTGCGGCATGGCCATCCCCCTGGGGGGTGATTTCTCGCTTTCTGTCTCTCTGTCTGTCTGGCAAGCACACGCGCCCTAGAGCAAAAACCTCTCAAAAAAAAAAAAAAAAAAGAAAAGAAAAAAAAATATCCCTCCCAAATATGAAAGGTATTAAACTTCAATGGTTATAAGGAAATACAAATTAAAACAAGCTGAGATATTAATTTTCATCTATCAAATTAATGAAAATTAAAACAAGGAATAACATTCGATGATGCCAAGGATCCGGAAAAAGGGAAACTCTAATACAGTGTTAGTAAATCATGGTGAAATACATATAAGATCACTAAACACTGTAACTGTACGGTTTAGTAGCATTAAATACACTCATGGTGTTGTGCAACTGTCACCACTATCCATTTCCAGAACTTTTTCATCATCAATTACAAATTCTCCATAGAAAGCAACTTGCCATTTCCTATGAAGACCAAAACTTTATCATCTTTAGCCAGCGACTCAATTTCTAGTATTTACTTTAGAAAAATAAATGTGCACCAAAAAGGCCCATGTAAGGATATTCCTGCGGCTTACTGCATAGCAAAAAATTAAAAACATTTAAAATATCCACAATGTGAGAATGCTTAAGCACAAAACGGTAAAGAATACCATGCAGCAGTTTAAAAAGGATAAACAGGGACCAGCAGTTGGCATAATGGCTATGTTGCTGGACTTCCATGTAGCCAGCCGCGGTTCGGGTCCCAAATCTGGTGGCTTAAACTCACGCTGGGCGCATTTGTGTGCATGCCCAGAATCCCAAGAGGAGAATGGAGAAGGGATTGCAGCGTGGCCATCCCCCCTAGGGGGTGATTTCTAGCTTTCTGTCTCTCTCTTTCTGGCAAGTGTATGCACCCTATAACAAAAACCTCTCAAAAAAAAATAAAAAAGGATAAACATAGGGGCCAGATGGTGGTACAAATAGTAAAACACAATGCTCTGTGAGGCAGTTATAAGATGGGGAGGTTAATGGTTCAAGGCGAGAGACCTCCCTGAGTATGCCAGGCACGCGCTTGCCCGTGATCTGGGGCTGACTGAAGGTTGGTGTTGGATCATGGCGTCGAGAACCTGTTGGAGGTGCCATTTTGCTCTCTGCCTCTCTCAATCATGGAAGAAATGAAAAAATAAACTTTTAGAATAAGTAAAATAATAAACAAAGGTAAATACCGATGTATTACAATGTCGACATTTTGTCTTTCTGCCATCTTTTTATACCACGATAATGGTGCACATGAATGTCCTGACTGGCTGATCTCAGGTGCATCAACAACGACAAAATGAAAGGCCGATGCCAGGTTCTTATTAAGGCCGCGTTCCAAAGCCATTGTTTGTTTCTAACTGTAATGGAGAAGTATGGTTACACTGGCAAATTCGAAATCACTGAGGACCACAGGGTTAGAAAAACTATTGTGAACCTCACTGGCAGGTTAAACAAGTATGCAGTGATCAGCCCCAGATTTGATGTGCAACTCAAAGATCAACAGATATGGTGGAATAATCTGCTCCTATTCCGTCTGCTTGGTTTCACTGTACTGACAACCTCAGCTAGCATCATGGGTCACAAGCAAGATGGAAACATATAGGAGGGAAAACCCTGGGATTATTTTTCTAAGGATGTAATGCACACATACAAATAAAATGTCTCAATGGACAAAAATAGTCACTTTTTTTTTTTTTTTTAGAGGTTTTTGCTATAGGGCACGTGTGCTCGCCAGACAGACAGAGAGAGACAGAGAGACAGAAAGCGAGAAATCACCCTTAGGGAGGATAGCCACGCCATAATCCCTTCTCCTCCATTCTCCTCTTGGGATCTTAGGAACGTACACACACGCACCTGGCATGAGTTTTAAGCCACCGGGTCTGGGACGCGAACTGCGGTCGACTACATGGGAGTCCAGCGACATAGCCATTAATGCGCTAACTGCTGGTCCCAAAAGTCACCATTTGTAAGACGTATCATTAAGGTATAAATAACAAGCTGTAGAACAATGTATATGGTTCAGTGTTGTAAAAAGCAAATCAATGTGTATGTATACGTGCATATAAATTCATTAAAATGTTTTCTAGTATCTAATTTTATTTATTATTATTGTTTAATTTGACCAGAGAGAAAGAGAAAGAGAAAGTGAGAAAGCAACCCATAAGGTCCGGGACGCAAACCATGGTCAATCATGTGAGAGCCTAGAGCCCTAACCACCACATCACCTGCTGGCTCCTAAAAATAATTATAAGATACACTCTAAAAATAATTGAAAGATATACTCTAAAGTAGTAGTGTAATCTTTTATTAAAAGACTTAATTTTTACATTATTTGAGATTTACTTTGAATGTTTTGTATCTTCATACATATTAAGTCAACTGGAAAGTGATGATGTATTTTTCTTTAAAAAAAAAAAACTTACTTTATTTAACTTTGTTTATCCATTTATTTACTTATGTATTTAAATTTGACCACAGAGGGACAGAATGGGAAAGAGAGAGAGAAAATGAGACAGCAAGCCACCAAGCCTAGGACTTGAAACATGGTCAGTCATGTGGGAATCCAGCATCCTTAAATCACCATACCACCTGCCAATCCCCATGATGTATTTATCTATGCAAAAATGCATCATGATTTTCCTGGAGACCCAACAGCTTACACTATTTTTGTTTATTTCATTAATTTTTTTTTTTTGGAGAGGTTTTTGCTATAGGGCGCGTGCGCTCGCCAGACAGACAGAGACAGACAGAGAGATAGAAAGCAGGAAATCACCCCCCAGGGGGGATGGCCACGCCGCAATCCCTTCTCCTCCATTCTCCTCTCGGGATCTTGGGCACGCATGCACACGCACCCGGCGTGAGTTTAAGCCACCGGGTCCGGGACTCGAACCGCGGTTGACTACGTGCGAGTCCAGCAACATAGCCATTATGCTAACTGCTGGTCCCATCATTAATTTTTTTTTTTTTAGGATTTTTTGCCATAGGGTGCATACATTCACCAGAGAGAGCAAGAGGGAGGGAGAAGGAAAAATTGCCCTGGATGGAGGTGTTGGCCACACCAAAATCCCTTCTCCATTCTCTTCTTGGGATTTTGGACATGAATGCACATGTGCCCGATATGAGTTTGAAGCCGTTGGGTCCAGAACTTGAATCACAGTCAGGCAGGTGGGAGTCCAGCGCACTAATCACCATGCCATCTGCTGGTTCCACTTACATTATTTTAAAAATGAGGGGTCCAACAAGTGGCATGATGGTTAAAGCACTGAACTCCCACATGGCCGATCACAGTTCTAGACCTAGATCCAGCAGACTGAAAATCATGCCGGGAACGTGTGCATGTGTGCCCAAAATCTTAGGAGGAGAACAGAGAAGGGACTGCAGCAGGGCCATCCCACAGGAGAATGATTTCTCACTTCCTCTGTGTCTCTCTCCTCTGAGGCGAGCACATACACCCTATGGCAAAAACCTGAAAAAAAAAAAAAAAAAAGTATTATCTTGGGGCCAGCAGATGGTGTGGAAGTTAAGGCCTGGATCCCACCTAGCTGACTACACTATTCAAGTCCCAGACCCGGTGGCCTGGAAATCACATAGGGTGTGTGTGCATATGTGCCCAAAATCCTGAAAGGAGAACGAAAAAGGGATTGCAGCGTGGCCATCTTCTCTGGGGAGCACGTTCTTACTTTCCTTCCATCAATCTTTCTGTCTCTGGACAAGTGCGTGTGTCCTCTAGCAAATTAAAAAATATATATATATTAATTTTCAAATGGATTCATGATTTCAAACTGACCATCCATGCAGGTTAGGAGCTGGGCTACAATTCTTCGTTCCATATCTTTTGAAGCAACTTCTCTTTTGGGAGTAATAGCATCAATTTCATCAATGAAGACAATACAGGGTGCATTTGACTAGAAATAAAAATATCGTAAATTATCATAAATACATTCCCTATACTAAAGCATAGTTTTAAGTATAAACATTTTAAAAATAATTATTTATTTTTATTTAATTCCATTTGCTATTATTATTTTTCAATTTGATCAGACAGAGACAAAGAGAAAAGGAAAGTGAGAAAGCAAGCCACCAGATCCAGGACTCAAACCATAGTCGGCCATGTGGGAATCCAGCACCTTTAACTACCATGCCACCTGCCAGCCCCAGTATATACATTTTTTAAGAGAGATTTTTGCTAGAGGTCCCATACACTTGCTGGAGAGACAGAAAGTGAAAAATCACCCCCTGAGGGGATGGCCATGCAGCAATCCCTTCTCCATTCTCCCCTCGGGATTTTGGGTGCGTGCACACATACACGCACCTGGCATGAATTTTAGGCTGCTGGATCCTGTACTCCAACTGTAGTCGAGTAAGTGGGAGTCCAGTGATGTAACCATTATACCATCTGCTAGTCCCATTATACACATTTTTTTAAGCTTGAAAGTTTAAGGATGAGTCACTAGAAGAATAACCTAAAAGAAGGCAGTTCACAGTGTATTACTTCTGATTTTTATCTGATTACAGAAAACGAAGGTGCTTAAAGGGACAATACGAGCCTACAGATAGGGTAATGTATGTATGGTCTTTTCCTCAGTCTATGCATTTCTGATAAATCTACTGAAGTTCTTTCCTAACTTAGATGTATTTTTTAAGCTATGAAACAGAAGCGTTAAGTTTATAAACTTAACAATGACAAAAACCAAACTTGGGACCAGCAGATGATGTAATGGTTATGTTGCTGGACTCTCACAGTCAACTGCAGTCTGAGTCCCAGACCTAGGAGCTTAAAACTCACACTGAGTCCATGTATGTGTGTGCCCAAAATTTCAAGAGGAAAATGGGAAGATGAGACTGCAGCATGGCAAATCCCCCAGGGCGGTGATTTCTTGCTTTCTGTCTCTCCAGCAAGTACACGCACAACATATAGCAAAAAAATCTGGGAAAAAAAATGTATCCTGGCATTTTTATAGTTGCTTAACATAATACTCCTACATATTTAACAGCAATAATTTTCACATTGCTTACAAGTTGTTTTATCAGTCCAAAGTTGAGGAAAATAAAAGTGAGTGAGAACATCTGAGGATAACGTATTTTCAACATATGACTAATGGGTAAGACGGCCCAGAACTTTGTCTACAAAAGGATGGTCAGTGAACACATTAACAGCAGCAGCATCAGAGAAAGCAGGTCTTTATTATAAGCTTCTAACATCTGACAACCTGACATTAGTCCCTAGTGACTCACCACAGCTTGCTCAAATAGTTCCCTCAGCTTCTGCTCAGACTCTCCAGAAACTCCAGAGACAATTTCTGGAGCAGCCACTTTCAGGATCGGCAGGGGGGGGTCAAGCTCCTATGCAAAAACATACAAAAAATGAAAAAATATTCAAATTTTAACTTCTCTACTTTTTTCTTATCTAGTCCCTTCCTCGAAAATACTTTTCTTTTCTCTCTTCTCTTTTCTCCCTCCTTTCCTTCACTCCTTTTTTTTTTTAAGAGGTTTTTGCTTTAGGCACTGCTGTTCCACTGGAGATAGAGACAGGGACAGTGGGAGGGAAAGTGAGAAATCACCCGCTGGGGGAATGATGGCCATACCACAACTCCTTTTCCTCCATTCTCCTCCAAGGATCTTGGGCATGCATGCGCACGTGCCCAGTGTGAGTTTAAGCCACCAAGTCTGGGACTCAAACTGCAGTCAACCCTGAGGGACTCTAGTGACATAATTGCTATGCCATTTGCTGACCCTAACAAAATTACATTTTTTTTTTTAAGAGAGATTTTTGCTATGGGGATGTGTGCTCACCAGAGAGGCAGAAAGCAAGAAATCACCCTCGCCCCCGGGGCCACACTGCAATCCCTTCTCTTCTCTCCTCTAGGGATTATGGGCACTCACTCACAGGTGCCTGGTATGAGTTTCAAGCCATTAGGTCTGGGACTTTAACTGCACTTGAACTGCTGTTGGTCATGTGGGAGTCCAGTGACACAACCATTATGTCATTGGGTGGTCCCAAAGATGGCAATTTTATGCAAACCCATTAAGTAGTTACCTTCTCTTTTTTTTAAAAAAAATACTTAATTTTATTTATTATTATTGCTGTTTTTTTTAATTTGACAAGACAGAGACAGAAAGTGAGAAAGAAAGCCGCCAGGTCCAGGACTCGAAATGCAGTCAACCATGTGGGAGTCCAGCACCTTAACCACCAGGCCTCTTGCCAGCCCTGACCTTCTACTTGTTTTATTTCAGAGATGTCACTCTAAAATTCTGCTATCTCTTCTGAATAAAGGATCTTGAATTGCAAGAGATACATTTCCCCCCATCACTTAGGGCTGAGCCAAAAGAAATGTATCTGTCATTATCCCATTGGATAGGAAATAGCTGGGGTTCCCCACCCACTGGGCTAACAGTTCCACATCCTCTAACTCAGACTAGCCAACTAATAGTAGGAGGAGGGAGGCTACTTAAGAAAAGGAAGGGAGGTGGGGACAGCAGGTGGTGTGGTGGTTAGGGGTGCTGGACTCCCATGTGGCTGACCATGGTTTGAGTCTCAGACCTGGTGGCTTGCTTTCTCACTTCTCTGTCTCTGGTCAAAATAAAATAAAATAAAATAAGTTAAATAAAATAATTCTAAAAAAAAAAAAAAAAAAAAAAGAAGTGGGCCAGCACGGTTACACTGGCCTAATGGTTACATTGCTAGATGCCCACATGGCCAACTATAGTTCAAGTCCTGGACCCTGGCTTGAAACTCACACTGGGTGCATGTGCATGTGTGCGTGACAAAGATCCCAGGAGAAGGGACTATAGCATGGCTATCCTCCTGGGGAGTGATTTCTCACTTTCCCTCTCCTTGTCTCCGCTCTCTCCCTCCCCATAACCCCCCACGACAGCATTATGCCCTAAGGCAAAAACCTCTTAAGGGCCAACATAGTGGTTATGTCACTGGACTCCCACACAGTAGACTGTGGTTTAAGTCCCAGATTCAGCAGCTTGAAATTTACACTGGGTGTATATGCATATGTACCCAAAACCCTGAGAGGAAAATGGAACAGAAGGGATTGCGGCATGGCCATCCTCCGGGTTGGGGGGTAATTTCTCACTTTCTCTTTCCTTTCTCTGTCTCTCTGGCTAATGCACATGCCTGATGGCCCTACTACAAAACAAAACAAAACAAAACAAAACTCTCAAAAATAAATACACAAATGAAAAAAAGAAAAGAAGAAAGAAAAAGAAGTGATGGGAACTGCTGCCCCATCAATACAAGTGGCAATAAGCCTTGCTAATTCTTACCTACTCTTTTAGCTACTCTGAAATTTTACTTCCTTAAACACACTTTTTTTTTTTTTTTGGAGAGATTTTCACTGTAGGGAGCGTGCGCTCGCCAGACAGACAGAGACATAGAGACAGAAAGCGAGAAATCACCCCCCGGGGGGATGGTCACGCCTCAATCCCTTCTCCTCCATTCTCCTCTCGGGATCTTGGGCACGCACGCACATGCGCCTGGCGAAACCCACCTTTTTTGACAGCAACTCTAACTTTGATATCTTAAGACACTACACAGAATTTTATACTTCTTTCACTTACTGTAGAAGTTATTATAGGGACCAGCAGTTGGTGTAATGGCTATGTCACTGGACTCCCATGTAATCAACCATGGTTCGAGTCCTGGACCCGGTGGGTTAAACTCATGCCAGGTATGTGTGTGTGCATGCCCAAGATCCCGAGAGGAGAATGGAGGAGAAGGGATTGCTGCATGGTCATCACCCCTACGGGGGTGATTTCTCGCTTTCTGTCTCTCTGTCTTTCTGGCGAGCGCACGTGCCCTTTAGCAAAAACCTCTTAAAATAAAGAAAAAAAGAAGCTGTTATGTACAGCATTTAATTGTATAAATAACCTCTCTCGGGACCAACAGGTGGTGTGGTAGGTAAAGTGCTAGATTCCCATGTGGCCGATGGTGGTTCGAGAAGAGACTAAAGCATGGCCACCCCAACTAGGGGTGTGATTTCTCACTTTCCCTCTATGTCTCTTGGCGAGTGCACACACCCTATGGCAAAAATAAACAAAGAAAGAAGCAAAAAGTCTCTCTTATATTAGAGCTAGGCTTATGGTACTCACTATATTACCATATCTGGCATACAATAGTCATGCAACAGGATATATCTTAAAAAATAATAAATAAGACTCCTTTAAAAGTAATTTTGTTTCACAGAGCATTAGTCTATCACTGATTAGTATAATATGTTATTCTGATTGAAATTACTCACTTTGGGAACAGCAGTTGGTGTAATGGCTATGTCGCTGGACTCCCACGCGGTCGACTGTGGTTCAAGTCCAGGACATGGTGGCTTAAACTCATGCCAGGCTTGGGAACCAGCAGTTAGCATAATGGCCATGTCGCTGGACTCCCACGTAGTCGACTGCAGTTTGCTCCCCGGACCTGGTGGCTTAAAACTCACGCCGGGCACGTGAGTGTGCGTGCCCAAGATCCCGGGAGGACAATGGAGGAGAAGGGACTGCGGTGTGGCCATCCCCCCTGGGGGGTAATTTCTCGCTTTCTGTCTCTATGTCTCTCTCTGTCTGTCTGGCAAGCGCACGCGCCCTATGGTGAAAATCTCTCTCTCAAAAAAAAGAGAAACTCATGCCAGGCATGTGTGCGTGCATGTCCAAGATCCCAAGAGGAGAATGAATGAGAAGGGAGTCCAGTACCTTAACTACCACATCACTTGCCGGTCCCAACACTGTTTATCATACGGCTAAATTTATTTAGCTGGCCGACAGCAGTTCAAGTCCTAGACCTGATGGCTTGCTTTCTTACTTTCTCTCTCTCTTTTTGATGAGCACACATGCCCTGTAGCAAATTAAAAAATAATAATGATAAATAAAAATTAGATAAATCTTTGAGAAAAAAAAATCCTACATGTAGCATAAAAGAGATAAACAAGGAAGAAGAGAGAGTTTTCAGCAATAATATTCTCTGAGAGATATACCTCTGGTTTAAGTTGACCAAAGAGAAAAGTAAAAAACAAGCAGTAACAATAAACGTAAGTAAGTGTCAGCAAGCCTCACCCCAGCAATTGCGTGTGCAAGTAATGTCTTCCCACAGCCTGGTGGCCCATGAAGAAGAACTCCGCGAGGGGGCACGACACCCAGGTGCTGGTACACCTCTGGGTGACGCATGTGGATGAGCATCTTGCAGACTTCCTGGCAGGAAATAAGCACAAGTGATGATGCAGCTCAAGACAGAAAAAAAAAATCAAAGTGTATTTCTAAACACAATTAAGGCTGGCACTAGAACTCGGTGATCAAGGGGGCTGGATCGTACAGAGCCAAACACATTCAAATCCCAGGCCCAGTGGTTTGAAAAACATACCAGGAGCATGATGGGAAGAAGGAATGGAAGAAAAAAACTTACAGCATGAACCCAGCCCTCTGTAGGGGTGCTTTCTCTCCTGCAGTTTGAGTCCCAGACCTGGTGACTTAAAAGTCACACCTGATGTGTGTGCATACATGCCAAAGATCCCAAGAGGAGAAGAGAGAAGGAATTGCAGCGGGGTCATCCCCCTCGGGGTGGGGGGGTGATCTCTTGCTTTCTGTCTCTCTCTGTCTCTCCAGAGAGTGCACATGCCTTATAGCAAAGAAACTCTTAAAATTTTTTTTTTAATACTTTAAAATTAAAAAAAAATAGTGACCATTAATAGTATTATTATTATTTTTTTTTTTTGGAGAGATTTTCGCTATAGGACGCATGTGCTCGCCAGACAGAGAGACACAGAGACAGAAAGTGAGAAATCACCCCCCAGGGGGGATGGCCACGCCACAATCCCTTCTCCTCCATTCTCCTCTCGGGATCTTGGGCACACACGCACACGTGCCCAGCATGAGTTTTAAGCCACCGGGTCCAGGACACGAACCGCGGTCGACTACATGGGAGTTCAGTGACATAGCCATTACGCTAACTGCTGGTTCCCAATAGTATTATTTTTTTAAAAGAGAGATTTTGGGGGCCTGCAGGTGGCATGGTGGTTAGGGGTGCTGGACTCCCACATGGTTGACCACAGTTCAAGTCCTGGACCTGGTGGCTTCCTTTTTCACTTTCCTCTCCCTCCTCCCCCATCTCTCTCTCATCAAAACTGGAAAATAATAATGATAAATAAAGTTAAATAATTCTTTAAAAAAGAGAGAGATTTTTTACTATAAGGCATGTGTGCTTGCCAGAGAAACAGAGAGAGACAGAGAAAATGAGAAATCATTTCCCAGGGAGTATGGCCATGCCACAAACCCTTCTTCTCCATTCTCCTCTTGGGATTTTGGGAACACACACACTCGTACCCAGCATGAGTTTCAAGATGCCAGGTCTGGGACTCGAACCATGGTCAGTCATGTGGGAGTCCAGCACCTTAACCACTACACCATCTGTTGGGCCCAGTAGTACTGTAAAAGCATTATTATTTATACATACATTATAATTAAAATAGCAGAGCCTCCCTGTAGCATAATGTTAGTTAAATCCTATGCATAAGAATTGGATCCTGCTAAATGCAGTCCAAATCCCAGCCCCAAAGGCTTGAAAAACATGCTGGGTACATGTGTATACGTGACTCAAATCCTGATGTGAAGGAGAAATGAAGAAAAAAGTATTGTGGTATGATGATGCCTAGCTGGAAGGGTATTTTCTTTATGGCAATAAAAGATAAACAAATTTAAATGGTTAAAAAATTAGCGATAATAAACTTCTTTTGTCTCTATACCCTGGAGGGCACAGGTCAAGCTTGCAATTCTCACTGCCTATCTCCTTTTTCACATCTAGCTCATATGAGGAACAAAGAGGTAGGCTTTGTTTGCATAACTGATTAGTAATATATCCATCTGAGGTAAAATTCTGAATTTCAACTAACTTTCAATGTTGCATCATTGCCTCCAACATCTTCGAACTTCACACTGGACATCTGCATTTCTAGCCCCTTGGCTTTAACTGGCAAACAAAAAAGGAGGTGAAAATATTAGTGACTCCATAGTAACTCATGATTATACTTAATAATCATGAAGTAAAAAAACATCCACTAGATATAGAAATATTTTCTAATAACTATTTCGGCACACAGAACATCCCAAAGAAAAACAGCTTAGAACAGAGTGATGCCATTCTCAAAGGAAACATAACCACTGCCACCTGCAAGACTCACGTCTCACCTTTCTTTTGTAGAACGGCTTCTATTTCTCCATCTACTTCCTGGAGATCTTCTTTCCTCCTTTTGCTACCTCTGCTGTTTAGCCTGCCCTTCTGCTTTTTATCACTCTCCAGGAGGGAAGAATCTTTTGAATCCTGAAAAGAAAATAAATATGCCATGCTTACAACTATAATGTCAATATATGCTTTTAAACATGAGCTTCTTTTTTCTTTTTTTAAGAATTATTTAATTTTACTTATTATTATTTTACTTTAATATAGGGCACAAGGCTCACCAGAGAGACACAGAGGAGAGACAGAGAGAAAAAGCAAAAGCAAGCCACCAGGTTCAGCTCTGGAACTATAGGTGTCCATGTGGAGTCCAGTGTCTTCACCACCTGCTGGCCCCAAACATGGGCATTATTAAAAATATCCATTCCTAGGACCAGCAGTTAGCGTAATGGCTATGTTGCTGGACTCCCATGTAGTTGACTGCAGTCTGAGTCCTGGACTCGGTGGCTTAAAACCCACCGGGCATGTGCGCGTGCGTGCCCAGAATCCCGAGAGGAGAATGGAGAAGGGATTGCGGCGTGGCCATCCCTCCTCGGGGGTGATTTCTCACTTTCTATCTCTCTGTCTATCTGGCGAGTGCACGCGCCTATCCATTCCTAGGTATCAGCAGGTGGCATGGTGGTTAAGGGTACTGGACTCCCACATGGCTGACCATGGTTCGAGTCCCAGACCTGGCGGCTTGCTTTTTCACTTTCCCTCTCTCTCTCTTACTCTGTCCCTCTCTGGTCAAATTAAAATAAATAAATAAAGTTAAAATCTAATTCTTTTTTTTAAAAGGACTAAGAGTGTTTTTTTAAGAATTATTTTATTTAACTTTATTTACCTCCATTTGACCAGAGAGGGACTGAGAGAGAGAAAAAAAATGAGAAAACAAACTGCCAGGTCCAGGACTCACACCACAGTCAGCAGTGTGGGAGTCTAGCACCTTTAACCACCATGCCACCTGCCAGCCTCAAATAATTCTTAAAAAAAAAAAAAAAAAAAAAATCCCGGGGCTGGCAGGTGGCATGGTGGTTTAGGACCCTGGACTCCCACAGGGCTGACAGTGGTTTGAGTCCTGGACCTCATGACTTGCCTTTTCCCTTTACTCTCACTCTCTCTTACTCTGTCCCTCTCTGGTCAAATTGAAATAAATAAATAAATGAATAAAGTCAAATAAAATAATTTTTTTTAAATGTTAGTAGGGTTAACTCTGAAAAAAATTTAAAAATTCCATTCCTGTCTTAGTACTTAATATTCCAGTAGGCACATATTCAACTCACCAGAGAGAGATAGAGATTCCCTTTACTCTCACTCTCTCTTACTCTGTCCCTCTCTGGTCAAATTGAAATAAATAAATAAATGAATAAAGTCAAATAAAATAATTTTTTTTAAATGTTAGTAGGGTTAACTCTGAAAAAAATTTAAAAATTCCATTCCTGTCTTAGTACTTAATATTCCAGTAGGCACATATTCAACTCACCAGAGAGAGATAGAGACCAAGGGAAAAAGGAAAGCATCCCTAATGGGGAATGGTCATGCCACGATCGATTCTTTTCCATTCTTTTAGGATTTTGTGCATGTATACACACAGACCGGTGTGTTTCTTAAGCTGCTAGGTTCAGGATTCGAACCATGAGGTCAACTATGTGGGATTTGGCTTCTTAATCACCAGACAATAGGGCTGGCCCTGCCCTAGCACTTATTTAATTTTTTAAAAGAATTTTAAAATTTAACTTTATTTATTTCTTTTTTTTATTTTTATTTTTTATTTTTTTTATTTTTAATTTGATCAGAGAGCAACACAGAGAGAAAGAGAGAGAGAGAAAGTGTGAAAGCAAGCTGTCAGGGCCAAGACTCGAACTGCACTCGGCCATGTGGGAGTCCAGCACCCTTAACCACACATCACCTGCCAGCCACAGCCCTACCACTTTCAGCTCTGTTAGCTATGCCTAAGCTCTGCTCAAGGATCTAAGCGCTGGGAATGTCCTGTTTCCCTATAGCTTAAAACTCAGTTTAAATCCTAAGATTTAAAAACTTCCTTTCCAGATTCTTCTGGTTAGATTTAATCTCTTCCTCACTCTCCCAGAACACTGCACTTGCAACTGAACTGTAAGCCGTCTTGAGTGATTCATTTGTCTTATTTATCTCACTGAATTGAGAACGCCTTGATTTAAGACATTATAATAGCCACATTTTAAAAAGTTCATTTTGACTCCTGAGTCTTCCACATAGCTGGTGTTCATCTGATATCTGATGATTCATTAAATTAAATATGACCATCCCCTGAAGAGGGCTGATTTCTCACTTTTTCCTCTCTGTCACTCTGTCTCTGACATGTGTATACAACCTATAGCAAAAACCTCTCTCTCTTAAAAAAAAAAAAAAAAAATCTCAGGACCAGCAGGTAGCATGATGGATAAAGGCACTGGACTCCCATACTGCCGACCGCAGCTCGTATCCCGGCTTGCTTTCTTGCTTTCCCTTTCTCTCTCTCTGTCTCTGTCTGGGCAAGTTATAATTACTAATGGAATTAAATAAATAAATTTTTAAATTTTTCTAAAAAAATTAAGTGTGACTACAGAACTGCTCTGACAGTCATTAAAAACTAAAACTCAACACAGAAATCAAGTTCTTACCAACCATAGCAAGGTTCTCCATGGATGGATAATTAAGGCAATGAGATCTAGAATAGAAAAGGCCCACTAATAATTTGAAGGGGAAAATGTTTTACCAAGTCAAAAGGGCTTGGTTCTTGGAAACCACTTAGGAAAATCATTGTGCAAGAGAAATCGAATGTAGGCGACATGTATACAATTTTAATGTACTGTACTAGTCACATTTAAAAAAATACATGAAACTTACTCTGGTCAAATTAAAAAAAAATGAATAAAATTAATAAATAAATCTTTTTAAAAATCACTATGTAATGTACACCTCAAGTAGTTACTAGGTGGTTGGGAAAGTCATGACCTACCTATTTTTCTATGTAAAAATGCATCATGACTTTCCAGAAGACGCAATATTTTGTTATTTTTTGCTAAAGGGCGTGCATGCTTTCCAGAGAGGAAAAGAGATGGGGAAAGTGAGAAATCACCCCCCAAGGGATACGGCCATGCTACAAGCCCTTCTCCTCCCAGGATTTTGGGCACGCACACATGCACCTGGAGTCATTTTTAACCCGCTAGGTCCAGGACTCCAAATGTAGAGTTGGCCAAGTGGATCCAGCCGCCTTGGCCAAGACATCACCAGCTGGCCTTCAAGTAGTTATTTTTTAACTCTCAAACAAGTAAATGTACCTGAAGAAATGTACTGAGTACTACTAATTCAACAAATTGATTATGTGCTATCTATATTTTAGCCAAGGACACATTATTAAACAAAACAAAGGAGACTGGCAGGTGGCATGGTGGTTAATGGTACTGGACTCTCATATGGCTGACCACGGTTCAAGTCCCAGACCAGGAGGCTTGCTTTCTCACCTTCCCTCTCTCTCTGGTCAAATAAATAATATTAACAAATAAATAAAGTTAAATAGAATCATTCTTTTATTTCTGGTTTGGAGAGGTTTTTGCTATAGGACGCATGTGCTCGCTGGAAACACAGAGAGAGACAGAAAGCAAGAAATCACCCCCCGGGGGGGGGGGGAATGGCCATGCACCTGGCGTGAGTTTAATCCCACTGGGTCCGGAATTCGAACCACAGTCAACTACATGGGAGTCCATTGATATAACCATTATGCCATCTGCTGGTCCCAAATAATTCTTTTAAAAATAAAACAAGATAAAGTTTTGCTCTACTGTAGCTCACATTCTAGTGAGGGCAAGAAAGAGCAAAAAAAGAAAGTTGAACTAAACTAAACACAGTAACTTTTTTTTTGAAAGAGGTTTTTGTTACAGGGCATGTGTGCTCACTACAGAGACAGAGAGACAGAAAGTGAGAAATCATCCACCAGGAGGGATGGCCATGCTGCAATCCCCTCTCCTCCATTCTCCTCTTGGGATCTTGGGCACGCACCCACACGCACCCGGCGTGAGTTTTAAGCCACTGGGTCTGGGACGTGAACCACGGTCGACTGTGTGGGAGTCCAGTGATGTAGCCCTTATGCCATCTGCAGGTCCCTACACAGAAACTTCAGTAATTATAAGTACTTAAAAATAATAATAGAAGAGGGTAGAGGCAGCAGGTAGCGTGGTGATTAAGGTGCTCAACTCCTACATGGCCAACTGCTGTTCAAGTTCTGGACCTGGCAGCTTGCTTTCTCACTTTCCCTCTCTCTCTCTCTGTCTCTCTCTACTGAGTGCACATGCGCTATAACAATTTAAAATAATAATAATGAAGCCAGCAGGTCATGTGGTGATTGGGATGCCAGATTCCCACATGGCTGACAATGGTTCAATTCCTGGACCTAGAGGCTTGCTTTCTCACTTACCCTCCCTGTGCCTTTCTCTAGTCAGATTAAAAAATAGTGATGTAAATAAAATTAAATATATTAATACTTTTAAAAAAATACAATTTTAAAAATAATTCTTTTTAAAAAATATTAAGAGCGAGCTAGTAACCACAAGGATTCAACAATGTGCTCTCTTCCACATTAGTTAAAGGCTCTCACAGAAAAGAGATCTGGGGGACCGACAGGTAGCATGGCAGTTAAGGGTGCTAGACACCCACATGGCCAACTGTGGTTTGAGTCCTGAACCTGGAGGCTTGCTTTCTCACTTTTCTCTCTCTCTCTCTGTGTCTGTCTCTCTGGAGATATTAAAATAATAATGATAAATAGAGTTAAATAAAATAATTCTTTAAGGAAAGAAAAGAAATCTGAAGAAGTGACAGAGTGAGCCACAGAAATCTAGAAAGTGTTCCAAACAAAAAGTCCAACTGTTGATTCTCGAAGAGAGTACGTGACGTGTTCTAGGAACAGCAAGAGGCTACTGTGGCTGATAGAAAGCAGGAAGACAGGAGAACAAGGTAAGAGAAGAAAGTAAAGAGGCAGCAGGGCAGCCAGATCACATAAAGCTTCCCTGGTACTTATAAGATCTTTGGATTTGAGACTGAATAAAGCCAGGGGAGGATTTCTGTTTAAGAATTATTTCATTTTATTTATCATCATTATTGTTAATACAGAGACACAGAGAGAGAGACAAGAAAGCAAGACTCTAGGTCCAGGAATCAAACCAAGGTTGTACAAGGAGGTCAGTGCCTTATCCATCCCGCCACCTGCTGGTCCCAGCCACTGGAGAATTTTCAACAGAAGAATGGCAATGACCTAACTTAATTATTTTTTCCCTAAGAATTATCTAATTTTATTTATTGTTATTATTTTTTAATCTGACTAGAGAGAGAGAGAGAGAGAGAAAGAGAAAGGGAAAGTGAGATACCAAGCTGCCAGGTACGGGACTTGAACCAGGGTCAGCCATGTGGGAGCCCAGCACCTTAGCCACTACACCACCCCAATAATGATCTAACTTAACCTGTAAAGAAGATATCTCTGAGGGGCCTGCATGTGGCGTAGTGGTTAAGGGCACATGGCCCATTGTGGTTTGAGTCCCAGACTTGGCGGCTTACATTCTCACTTTCTCTTTCTCTCTCTCTCTTACTCTGTCCCTCTATGGTCAAATATAAATAAATAAAGTTCAAAAAAAATTCTTAAAAAGAATTATTTGTAAAGAAAAAAGGTATCTCTGTGGGAAGCAGGAAGCATACTCTGGAGGGAGTGCCAGCAGGTGGCATGGTGGTTGGGGCACTGAACTCCCACACGCAGACTGTGGTTCAAGTCCCAGACCTGGTGGCTTGCTTTCTCGCTCGCTCTCACTCTCTGGTTAAATTTAAAATAATAATAATAGATAAAAATTAAACAATAATAAAAAAGAATACGCTAGGAGAACAGGAGTGAACAAAACTCAAGTTAGAAGGCTATTTTGTGGGGCCAGCAGGTGGCATGGTGGTTAAAGGCATTGGACTCCCACATGGCAGTTCGAGTCCTGGACATGGCGGCTTGCTTTCCCACTGTGTCTCTCTGTCCCTCTCTGGTCAAATTAAAAATAAATAAATAAATAAAGTTCAATAAAATAGTTCTTTTTTTTTTTTAAAAAAAAAAGAATACTACATTGTTAGTTAAGGAAAGAAAAAGAGTAAAGGTGTGGCCTAAGATAGAAATGACGGCAGCAGTGTGAAACAACTAAAATTTCCATGAATTTCAAAGTTCTTATGTATTTTACAAAACACATGTTTCTTCTCTATGCTACACTCAGTGAAAAGGCTGGCATGTACCTCAACCACACAGGGCTAAAATATCACTACAAAAATACCTGTATCTTGGTCATTGGCTTCTTATTACTTTTCTCATCTGATAGGTCCAAGGAAAAACGATCTTTCCTTCCACTTGGGGTTTTGTCAATAAACCATCCTCCCTCAGAATCTCTGGTAGGGGTCTTCAGAGGAAAGGAGCCTGTTTTGGAAGTTATCCGTGGTGTGGAAGCGGTGGTTTCTCTTTGCTCCGTCTCAGGTGTATTTGAAACAGAATCAGTATGTCCTTTCCGATATAAAGAGAGCAGGGAACTGTTCATGTGATTTGCTGACTGGCAAAAACATGATTTTAGCACAAATTACTCAATGCGTATTTATGAAAGTTCCATTACTTGTATGAGTAAGTTTCCTACTTTTTTTCCAACAATTTCTCACACAATTTTTAGTCAGAAACTATAGGTCACATCACAATAACCTAACTCACAGACAAGCTTTTACTATTTCACAAAGACATACCCCACCACTATCACTCCAATTTAATAGAGGACCAATTCAAAACTGAAAAATAACCATGCCTGCTTTCTTGTTTTGAAGACAAGTCCCGTTAGGTTATGATCTTCCAGCCTCAGTCTTTTCAATAGCTGGGACTACAGAAGCACAACACTGTGCCCTGCTTTTTTAGGTTGGACCATGAATCAAATGGGGCCACCCATGGGGTCCCAGCCTACACAGCATAGTTTTGATAACACATGCTACTGTAACCAGGCCCATGGCTGCTTCTCAAAAAATATAATGTGCTATAGTAGTACGCATTGACAGATGCTGGGACTCAGTGGGCTGAGGCCACATGGAAGGCCTGCATTCAATTCCTGGCTCACCCTAAAATGCTGGGTACAGTGAGGTATGACTGTCGTCCCTCCCAGTGACTCAGGAGGCTGAGGTAGGTGGATCATGACATAGCAAGACCCTGTATTAAAAAAAAATGTGGGGGCTAGCTAGTGGTGTGGTAGTTATGGAGGCTGGATCCCACATGGCCAAGCAGAGAGTTTGAATCCCAAACCAGGTGACTTGAAAAACATGCCAGGCACATGAGCCCAAAATCCCAAGAGCTTTGCAGTGTGGGGGTACTTTCTCACTCCCTCTCTCTGTCTCTCTCTGGCAAGTGCACACGCCCCACAGCAAATTTAGTTTTTTAAAAATTTCTTAAGTAAGGACTAGCAATTAGTGTAATGGCTATGTTGCTGGACTCCCACGTAGTCAACTGCAGTTTGAGTCCTGGACCCGGTGGCTTAAACTCATGCCGGGCACGTGTGCGTGCGTGCCCAAGATCCCGAGAGGAGAATGGAGGAGAAGGGACTGCGGCGTGACCATCCCCCCTGGGGGGTGATTTCTCGCTTTCTGTCTGTCTCTCTCTGTCTTTCTGGCGAGCACACATGCCCTATGGCAAAAACCTCTCAAAAAAAAAAAAATCTTAAGTAAACAAATAAACAAAGTAAAAATAAATAATATTTTAAAAAACAAGTACGGGAGCCAGCAGGTGGTGTGGTGGTTAAGGGTGCTGGACTCCCATATGGCCAACCACAGTTTGAGTCCTGGACCTGGCAGGTTGCTTTCTCACTTTCTCTCTCTCTCTCTCTGTTCCTCTCTCCTCAAATTAAAAAAAGAAAAAAAAAAAAAAGGGAATAAATAAGCAAATAAAGCAAACAGTCTTTAAAAAAAAAAAAGAGAAAATTGGCTGGTAGGGCTGGATCCCAAACAGCCAGCCATGCAGTTTGAAACCCAGATCCAGCAGGATGAAAACCGTGCCGTGTCTGTGGGCGCATGCACCCTGAATCCTAAAAGGACAGAGAAATGGGATTTCAAAGTAGCCACACTCCATTGGGGGATGCTTTCTTCCTCTCCCTCTCTGGTGAGCGTACGCATCCTCTGGCAAAGTTTTAAAAATTAGAAAAGAAAAAATAAAAAAAAGAAAAAGAAAATGAGCTAGTAGTCAATGAGTTATTACTACCTGTCAATCCCATCCTTACTTTTATAATCAATTCAAAAACTGAGTTTTCAAAGAACTAAAATAGAGCAAGTTAGAAATCATTTGACATCTTATTCCCATATTCCAATCTAATCAAACCTATTTGTGAGCACTGCTAGCATCAGTTCCTTGGCAGAAGATATGCCCTTTTCTCTATTTTTACTATTAATTCCCCTTTTTCTTCCTGCTCTTATTTCTGGCTATTTTTTTCCCTTTTTTTCCTATATAGCTACAAATAGTAGAGAGTGGCTAATCCATCAACTCTATACACAGGAAGTATTCAATGTTTATCAATGAAGCTGTCCAAAGTTTCTTATTCTATTTCTCACTGACTTTTTCTTTTGGTAAGGGAGGATCATACTGATTCTAAACATAAAATCAAAATGGTCCAAGTAATGAAATGACTGGCTCACCTGTGGATCTGGGTAGTCTTCCATATTTGAGTCTTCATCAGAATAAATTTCAGTGTACCTCAGTAAAGAGAAAATTCTTTTTTTATTCATTATATTCAACTAACAATACTTACAGCATTTCTTTTTTTTAAAGAATTATTTTATTAAACTTTATTTATGTATTTATTTATTTTTAATTTGACCAGAGAGGGACAGAGTGAAAGAGGGAAAGTGAGAAAGTGAGAAAGCAAGCTGCCAGATCCAGGACTCAAACCACAGTCGGCTATATGGGAGTCCAGCACCCTTAACTACCATGCCACCAGCCTGGTCCCATAGCATTTCTATTCAATGTTAAAAAAAATAGATTATTAGGACCAGTAATTGGCTTAATGGCTATGTCTCTGGACTCCCATGTAGTCAACTGTGGTTTGAGTCCTGATCCCAGTGGCTTAAACTCATGCTGGGCACATGTGTGTGCATGCCCAAGATCCCAAGAAGAGAATGGAGGAGAAAAGACTGCGGTGTGGCCATCCCACTGGGGGGTGATTTCTTGCTTTCTGTCTCTCTGTCTCCCTCTGTCTTTCTGGCGAGCACACAGGCCCTGAAGTAAAAACCTCTCAAAAAAAAAAAAAAAAAAAAAAAAAGATTATTCATCTACTTAGAAAAAATAGTTTTGCCATATACCCTACAAAAAAATTAACTGCAGATGAACTAGAGTTAAATATCATAATGAACAATAAAAATACTGAATAGAAACAGAAAAGTATTTAACAAATGTAATACCTAATTATAATTAAAAATCTTCGGCAAACTAGAAATATTTGGAAATTTCCTCAACTTGATAAAGGGCATTCACAAAAAACCTGCAGCTAACACCAAACTTTTATTTTTAAAAGATTTCTGCAAGCTGGCAGGTGGTGTAGTGGCAAAGGCACTGGACTCCCACATGAGTGACCACAGCCCAAGTCCTAGACCTGGCGGCTTGCTTTCTCACTTTCCCGTTCTCTTTCCAGTCAAATTAAAAAAAGAAAAAAGAAAAAGAAAAAGGTAATGATGATAAATAAAATGAAATAAATAGATTAAAGAAAAAAAGGGAGATTTTCTTATAGGGCACGCATGCTCACCTATGAGACAGAGAGACAAAAAGTGAGAAATCACCTCCTGGGGGGATAGCCATGCTGCATTCCCTTTCTCCATTTTCCTCTCAGAATCCTGGACACACATGTGCCAGCGTGAGTTTCAAGCTGCCGGGTCTGGTCATGTGGGAGTCCAGTGATGTAATATGGGACGAGCAGATGGCATAATGGTTACGTCACCGAACTCCCACAGTTGAGACCCGTTTGAGTCCTGGACCTGCGTGCATGCCTGCCCAGGATCCCAAGAAGGGATGGCAGTGTGGCCATCCCCCATGAGGGATGATTTCTCACTTTCTGTCTGTCTCTTGGGTGAGTGCAATTGCCCTATAGCAAAATACTCTCTTCCAAAAAAAAAAATAAAAGAAATGAACTTATTTGGGACCAGCAGATAGCATAATGGTTATGTGGCTGGACTCCCACATAGTTGACTGCAGATTGAGTCCTAGACCCAAAGGTTTAAAAATCACCCAAGGGGGTGATTTCTTGCTTTCTGTCTGTCTCTCTGCCAAGTGCATGCACCCTAGAGCAAAAACCTGTCATTAAAAAAAAAAAAACAACTTAACTTACTTAATCTAAAATCGCTGTCTAAAATTAAAGACTAACTATACCAAACATTAGCAATAGGTAGAACAATTGGAATGAGCATAAACTGCTAATGTAAAAGTAAAACAGTACAAACACTTTGGAAAACAGTTTGGCAATTTCTTTTTTTTTAAGAGGTGGGACCAGCAGTTGGTGTAATGGCTATGTCACTGGACTCCCATGTAGTCG